TCAACTGTGAACCGTTCAAGGTATCCCTATGTTGCTACCGAGGTCCTCTGCAGCGAAATATGGTCGATTGTCGACACCTGCATCAATCACCAGGACCAGCTACTCGTCCCCTTCTGGGAGACTGTCCTTGACAAGTCCCCTGAGGAGATGAAGAGCCAGGTGACGATGGCGTCGCATTTTGCGAAGGTCAACGTCGCGTTCCTGAACAAGAAGCCTGCAGAGGTGAATCCGCCCATCTTTCCTCCTACGTCTCACGCAAGTAAATCCTGAGCGCGTGCTCAGATGCTCGCTTTCATCCAATCACAACCGAACATCGCCGAGCGTATCCTGCGACATATCGAGTCGCCCCCTTTCGCGGACCTCCTAGTGCGCATCATCCAACTAGACGAGCAGCCGGAAGGAGCCGGTGTCCTTGACGTATGTTCCTCGTTGCATGCTATATGCGCTCCCGCGAATCGCCCTTACCTCAAGCCGTACAGTGGCTATCAAGAGAGAACCTCATGTCGCGTCTCATCGACCTGCTCTCCCCCGAACATAGCAGCGACATGCATACCGTCGTTGCAGAGCTCATCAAAGGCATCATCTCAATGGCAGCCCCATCCCCTGCCGCTGGTATCTCGGATGGCCTAAACCACTTGCCCGCGTCAAATGTGTTTGCACGCGAACTCGCCCACCGGGACAACGTCGCGAAGTTGGTCAGCTACATCTTGTGCGATTTTGGCCCCCAAAGAGGGGATGACCCTCGCACGCCAGTCCAAGAGAAAGCTTCGGGTCCCTCGACAATACCACTGTCCCCGGAATCTGCAGCGTCTTCGGTGGTGCAGTCAATATGCATTATCATCGAGCTCATACGGCAGAATAACTCGGACTACTTCGAACCGTACCTCTTCCACACGTTACGAAACCGCCTCATACAGGTGCAGCAACACTTGCAGATGAACACCGAAGGCGGTCGGGACGCACTGGAAGCTGCTATGAAGGAGATGGTCAACCGCATGGGTGTCGTACACCTCGGGCCGGTCTTGGAGCTCATGTGCGACTATCTGGACCGGCTGCAGCAATTCCTGAAGCAGCCTCGATCACTTGTAAGCGTTCTGTGTTTCCAGCTATCCTTCACTAACCGTATGTTTGGCTCAGGATGGACCGGTCCTCACTACTGTTGGGGCTCTGCCGCCCTTGACGTTCGAGCGGTATCGAATATGTGAGCTGTATGCAGAGCTGTTGCACTGCTCGAACATGTCGCTCCTCAACCGGTCTCCTGAGTACGACCATCTCTACGACTCAGAAGGGAGGTTGCAAGGTGGCTTGTCTGCGCTGGAGGAGCTGGCGCAGGTCATAGCAATCGGGAATGGGAGCGGGGACAACGACGGCATGGATGATGACGAGACAGACGAGATAGAGCCTGCACACGAGTTCCCGGTGTCGCATGCGCCATCATCGGCGCTCACCGACTCCGACGACGATATGAGCGACGATGAGCCAGGTAGCTCGGATGACGACGCTATGGAGGAAATCGCCATGTATGATTCACCGGCACCCGAACCTAGTCCTGCCCCGTCAGACTCTCCGTCACCCATTGGAGGGTCGCCCGCCGCTTCGTCACCGGTGTCTATTCCCTCCCCGTCTACCTCCCCATCCGACATTGCCGCCTTCCCTCGACACAGACAGAATTCGTGGAGTTCAGATGCAGAAGGACCCATGGTGAGACCACGCTCGGCCAGCTCTCGTCGCAGTGTACGACGATCGACAAGAGAATCGTTGGCTGGGCGCCCAGTCCTTGGCGAACGGCTCAAGCAGCGGTTCTTGGAGGCGAACGTTGTCTCAACATTACTTGTGCGTACCGTGTAAAACATGCATGCGACCCACTCTGACCTCGCGAGACGTCCAGGATCTGTTCTTTGACTTCCCGTGGAATAACTTCCTGCATAGCGTCGTATATGACTTCATCCACCAAATCTTGACCGGTCGTGTGGACGGAGGATACAACCGGGAGCTCACCGTGGCCCTCTTCCGTGACGCGAGGCTCATGCATCGCATCATCGAAGGGTCGAAACGGAACGACATCGAGAGGTTAGTAGGACACATACAGTTTACAACGTTTTGCTAATGCTCGGTCACGCAGCTCGAAACCCAAGGGTGTCCGACTTGGCTACATGGGCCACCTCACGCTCATCTCGGAGGACGTCATCGGGGCGCTCGAACACCTTCCCCCTGATCTCCGTCTTCAAATCGCCCAGTACGCGCCGCAGCCGGAGTGGGACGAATACGTCACGGGTCGGTACAAGGAGACCAAGAAGAAGGACACAAGCCTGCTCGGCGGCGGGAAGCCCGTGATTGCGCCCTCTATGCGGAATGCTGGTGCAGCTCAGTGGAAGGTCGACGAAGCCGATGCAGTGGCGACCTCTGCAGTGAATAGTGCCGAGCAGAAGCCGACGACAGAGATGAAGGGCGAGTTCCGAAGAACATCGCGAACGAGGGAGGGCAGCGCAGACTTCAGCTCCATGCCTATGGATGATGAAGATGACGAGTTCAACTCTGCACCTCCACGGGTACGTAGCCTTCGGTCCACGATGCATGATCAGGCTGCTGAAGGATGATGCAGTTTGCGAACTACCTTGTGCAGGAGATACAGTCCTCAGATCATCTGGGCTCGTCCGACGAGGCGTCGGATGAAGAGGAGGATGGCGGATGGCTGGCGCAGTCGACGTTCGAGTTGCGTCCTCCTCCGGTGACTGCGCGGCAGCATGATAACGGGAGGAGACCACTAAGTTCCAGTGGCTTCGACGTAGGTCGAATTGTCGATATCCGTGTGTTGTTCTCACGAGTCTTCTTGCAGGACTCCTTCGCCTCTGCCGAGTCGTCACATCCTCCTTCCTTCCAAGACCCGTTCGAGGATGTGAGTTGCTCTCTGCATCGTAGCGGCGGTCCAACGATTGACACAATAGCGACAGGATGCATTTGGCCCTTTCTCTGACACAGCTGCTGCGAGCGGATCAGATTCGTTCACGTTCTCCTCCTCGGCGACAGAAGAGTTCATGGAGGATAGCTCCTTCGACTCTTTTGGTGACTTCGGAGACTTCCAGAGCGCTGGCTCCGGCTCCTTCGAAGCAGAAGGCACGCTCACGCCAACCGGAGCGGACAGTTGGAGCTTCGCGAGCGCGTCGAGTGCCGGCTCTTTTGAGGACAACTTCGGCGAGCGGAGGGCATCTGACGGTGCCAGGGACCAAGACGAACGGACTGCGTGACGAACAGACCATGTACGCTCCGAGCATTGTATAGTCCCCTTTGCTATCGTTTAGATCACTTTCCGACCTACTCTCCTTGAGCAATCCTGACTACGGGTACTGTATGAAGATCGCTATGTAGATGCCCCTTTACTCCGGCTTATAGTGGTACCCGCCCTCGCGTCGTACGACGTTGAAGTCGAGGGTCGCCAGCTGCTTGCCGCTGCCGTCATTCAACGAGCACTCGACTTTGTCGCCAGGTACAACGGGCCCGACGCCGGACGGCGTGCCGGTGAGAATCAGGTCACCCTCCTGCAAGAGATCGTCATGTAAAGAAGTCTGTAGTTGATATAGACGCCTACCTCTAGCGTCATGATTGTTGAGATATGGTGGATGAGACGGGGAATAGAGAAGATCATGTCCTTGGTGTTCCCGTCTTGTTTCACCGCGCCATTGACCTGCGCTTGACCATTCAGCTCGACGGGCGTGGTTGAGAAGAAGTAAACTGAAGTCCGACCTTCAAGGTGAGTCCGAGGTTTGTGGGATCGCTCACTTGCTCCTTTGGGATGTAGGAGCTGGAAACAGGGTCAGTCGGCGAACAGGACCTCAATTCTGCTGCACAAACCCGATCGGAGTGAAGGTATCAAAGCCTTTCGCTACAGTCCAGGGGAGCCGCTTGGTCTTAAGCTCTTCCTGCAGGTTGCGAGCGGTCATATCGACGGCCAGAGCTACATCGCATAGCGTGAGAGCATGCGCCACAGTGCATAGAGCATGTCAAGTACCATAGCCCGCAACATGATCTTCTGCTGCGTTCTCAGGAACGTCCCGGCCACGCTTGGCCACAACGACGCCGAGTTCCACTATATCGCTCTCAGCATTGTCTGTTCAACCGAGGAAGTGCTCTATGCAAACCTTCATAGTGCGCGACTACTCCCTTCGGGATCTCCATATTACCGCCGGAGGGAAGGTAGCTCGTCGTAGGCTTCAAGAAGATGATTGGCTCCTTCGGAACCGCATTATTCAGCTCCTTGGCATGCTCGCTGTAGTTGCGACCAATGGCCACAATCTACATGCGCGATTGCGTTTGCATATATGTCAGTTTTGCTGGCGTAGATGATGCATGTGCAGACGTCACCTTCTTGCCTGTGCTGACAAAGGACGAGGCCGACATCCGCGCAGACGATGCAGTGAAGCTTCTATAGGGGATCTTGGCCGAGGACAACCTGGTTGCCCGCCGCACAGCAGCTGCCACGAACATGGGATCTCACAAGTCCCGGAGTGGAGAGTATATAGTCGAAGCGTTGCCTGATTCAGCCGGGACGGAACTCCGTGAGTACGCTCTCACTCGCAGTACTAGGCCTGAGTCACCCTAAGGCCGAACTTACTATTCCAGGAGGCTCTTCCAGTATATGTTCGGGAGGCTTAATACAGACCTCTATAGAGCCTGCAAGCGTAAGTTACTACCGGTACGATGGCCCACGAGGTGCAAGGACGTAAGTACATAACACACGGAATACTGTACTCCTCAATACAGTCCGGGGTGTCACATGTCACAGGGCGGTCGCCCGCCCGGAATTTGGCCGCCTGTCGCGGGCGGCGGGTCACAGCCTGCGCGAGCGTTAGGCGCCCGTCCTCCCCGGGCGACACGAGTACTTGAATACCGGATTTGGTAGGTGTACGGGCGCCTCCGCTTGCCCCGAAGCTTTCGTTGCTGTCACCAGGCCCGGATTGTCCTCTTGAGGAACGTATATACCATGCACTATGCTGCTATCTCGAGGGCACATGGTGTAGTTGGTTATCACATCCGCTTAGCATAAGTCACGATCCATTGCGTGCGGGGGGTGCTGGGTTCAATTCCCAGTGTGTCCATCTTTTTACCTCTTCCACAGTACCGGTGACCCTGGTTTTCTTGTCCCGTTGCCGATCTGCATGCGGTCCCGGCGTAGCCGTGCTGTGTATCCATCGTCTAGCGCGACCTATCTCGTTGTGTAGCCGAGTATCCACAAGCCCGTAGAAAAAAGAGGATTTGGATCTCGTAGGCGAGCGTCCCAAGCCTTGTCCAATGTGGTAGAGTCACTCAGCACTTGCGTATGTTTGACTCCCAAGCAACGCTAGCGATCCATATCGAGGCGTGCAGCATTCCTCGAGATGAGACCGACGCGATATGATGCAAGGCTCTGCTCCCGGCAGCGCGCGGCACGATCGTGAGGCTGCTCGGCGGGCCTGGCGCGCGCACCGGGTGCGCGGAGTGTGGATGGCTTGGCTTGCCAAGGCGTCCCTCCCGCTCAGCCCGAGGCCCTTGGCGAGCATGGGAACCGCACCGTGCGCACCGTCAAGAACATAAAGCTCTCCGCTGCCAAGGCCCAAGGAAGTCTTCTCGATGTCCCCTAGGAGTATTAAAACCGCTGCTCGAGGCGCATCGCGCTATCCTCCGTTCTCCTGCCAGCATCCGACCTTCTGTTCTTTGCAGCGCATCCTTTCTTCTCTGGCTGTACAAGGATGATTCACTCTTTGCCTTGCTATCTGCTGGCTATCTGCGCGGCATTTCTCTCTGCGAATGCGAGGGTGCTGCGCGCCCGTGCCGAGGAGGAGGAGTAAGTGCGACCTGCCACGCTCTATGCGCGCCAGAGACGCACGTTCTCATTGGGATTGTCGTCTAGCAGCGGTACCGAAGATACCGGACCCGATGGACATTTGACGGAGCCTTGGGTGGCCGCGGTCGCTGCAACGTTGGGTGCGTCTCGCCGGCATTCGTGACTGTCCTGCTTCGCTCTGCTCACAAAGTCTGCCGTCCCCCTCTCTTTTAGCCGTTCTCATCAGCACAGTCGCAGCCGTGATACTCATCATCAAGTGGCGGCAGGCCCGGCGTCGGCGCAGGGAGGAGAACTACAGCCGTACGCCGGACGAGCAAACCGTCGAGGGACGTCGGTCACCCCAGCGTCCGTTCCATGGACCGTATGGCATCTCGCCGTCTTCACGGACCCCGACGCCGGTGAGTATCTTGAGTATCCTTGATGTGCCACCTCTCATCCTTCCTCCTTTGTGCCAGCCCTCTCCCGCACATCTGTCTGAGAAGGTGCACTGGGCTCCGCTCCCGCCCCAGCGGTGAGCGGCCCACGCCTGCGACACTTCGTCCGTACTATGTGTATGCGCAGGACAAGGCGAACGCCTGTAAGTACTTGGCTCGTACTAGAATGCCCTCGTGCTGGACTAACGGCCGACGTGCCTAAGTTCAGCGAAGCATAGGATGTCCTGCCACTGAAGATCACTTCTATGCCAAGCGCGATGATGACTACGCTGGTCTCCTCTGTACCCAGTGTACCCGCGCCCTCGCGGGGAGCTTGTCGCTTGTCGGACCTCATTACTAACGTACTGTGATGCCAAGCATGCAGAAGGTTGCGGCGCGGTTCATCTCCGCTCGTCCGTTGCGTTATGCGAGGCTCGTGGCGACGGGTCTAAGAAGGATGGGCGGGCGGGTCGACCGGTGCGCTCTGCACGGCGCTCGTAACGCCGCATTATCGACACACTCTCGGGACACAGGACACGCTGACTGTATGTAGTACTGTACTATAGCTCTTGACCTCCCGTAATGTGCAGGTTCCTACATATTACTACCCAGCTATCCAGAACGGCTGCATGGAAGGCATGAGTGATTCCAGGCGCCAAAGGACGATCTACTGGATACGGTGTCTTGGCCCTTGGATTGTCTTGGAGGCCATGGCAGGAGCGAGTAGGAAGGAGAGGCAAGGCTCTGTGCACCCGCAAACCCCACGTATGCGTGTTCCTGCCCTGCAGCCTAAGCGGTCCGTACCTGCTGGAGATGGTGCGATTGCGATGCTCTTCAACTTGCGAAGGTCCCAAGGGCCCCACATACGTACGTTCAGACGTTCAAAGGTTCATTGCTTCCCTGACATGTCGATACATACGGAGAGTGATACGATATCATCTTCAACACGCCGTGCTCAGCAATGCATGTGGGCAGATAGCTCTGGCCATGGGTACTGTACTTGCTTCTCGTCCGCGTCCCATGAAGCTTGCTCCACCTTCCAGGTTTCGGCGGCAGTAAGCTTGTGATACTGAACGTTCACGTTCTCCGAGAGCATAGCAGAATCAGAGGCCCGCACTGGCGTCGTACGATGCACATTCAGAATACGCGCGTTAGAAGTCGGCACGTACGTCACTACTGAGCAGTGATACGGGGGCTGGATAGACGCGGCGTCGTCTTCTCTTGCTTCGCAGGATAGTGGATCCACGACGTCTTGGTCAACCGCCGAACATACCGCGGAGTGTACGCAGTCGTAGACGCAGTAGTATCACAGTACGTTCGAACGACTGTGTTGCGGAGGGTAGAGCAGGAATGAACGCTACAACATACAGAGATCGGAGATGTTGCTCAGCACCCTGTAATACTTGCGTTTGGACTTGCCTTGGACGACTTTGCAAGGGTAAGTATCTGAAGTTGACCAGTTCCTCCGCGACGATACCTCGGGAATTCCGGGCTGAGTTGGGCAATCACAGGGCTACCGCTTCCCAGGACAACGATCCACAGGGTGCAATGCGATGGCAGCAAGATGAAGTTCCCGGACTTTCCACATTCATGTCGTTGAGAGAAGCGTGGGTAGACATGAGCAGAGGATGTGCAGGAGTCGAGGGAAAGAAGCCCGGAGGACTGCACAGTCCGGGGTATTATTGACGTGGGAAAGCACACGACGGAATAGCCAGCCAATGGGAGGCCAGGGATGCGTCGGAATTTGGCTGGAAGCGGCGAGACCGGCTGCTTTATGGGCCAACCCTAACCTAACTCTGGGTGTATTCCCCATATCAGGTGACCGCACTCCAGTCAATGACTCGAGTGCTGCTTATAAGCTATGGACTCGGTCTCTTTCCAGTTTTCCTCGACTCATCTTCCCCTCGTCCCCCGTCGTCGCCGCCGCTGCCGCCGTCGTCCGTCGCCAGGATGTCCCTCTCAGCGTCAAGAACAATGCGCGTGCCCGCCGCGTCCAAGGCGTCCACCCCTGCGCAATTCGTCCGCGCTCGCTCGACGGTGGCAAGCGCGAGCCCGTCCATGCTCGAGGCCAAGTCAAGAGTCAGGGAGCATGCGAGGAACATCAGCAGGTCCTCGCCCCGTGAGGCGACCCCTTCCTCCTCTGTGTACGTCTTTTTTTCTACCCTGCACACGACTATATATGCTGACACGCATTTTGCTAGACGGCCTTCGCCGGCGCCAGGATACCAGCAGCTGCCCACGAAGAACAACGTTCCTTACCCCCCGCCTACCCTTGGTCCCGACGCACATGGTCCCCTCGATCACTCATTCGTTGGCATGTCCGGCGGCCAGATTTTCCACGAGATGATGGTCCGCCATGGCGTCAAGCACATTTTCGGATATCCCGGAGGCGCTATTCTCCCTGTCTTCGATGCCATCTACAACTCCCCTCAGTTTGACTTCGTGCTCCCAAGACACGAGCAGGGTGCAGGCCACATGGCCGAAGGTTACGCGCGTGTAACGGGGAAGCCTGGAGTTGTCCTCGTCACTTCAGGTCCCGGTGCCACGAACGTCATCACGCCCATGCAGGATGCCCTCAGTGACGGTGTCCCGTTGATTGTCTTCTCCGGTCAGGTGGCGACGTCAGCTATCGGGTCCGACGCGTTCCAAGAGGCCGACGTGCTCGGTATCTCCAGAGCGTGTACGAAATGGAACGTGATGGTGAAGGACATCTCCGAGCTTCCTCGGCGCATCAACGAAGCGTTCAAAATCGCTACCTCGGGTCGGCCTGGACCTGTCCTCGTCGATTTGCCCAAGGACGTCACTGCGGGCATCCTGAAAACTCCTCTCCCTTACAAGGCGACGACCCCCGGTACTCCTCTCGGGCTCCCTCAAAACCCTCTCCAGCCGAACGACCAACCGATCGACACTGCGTTGATCCAGCAGGCTGCAGACCTCATTAACCAGGCGCGGCGGCCCATCATCTACGCCGGGAACGGCGTGCTGTCTTCGCCCCTCGGGCCGAAATTGCTGAAGCAGATTTCGGACCAGGGTAACATCCCCGTCACGACCACGCTGCAGGGCCTCGGCGCGTACGACGAGACGGACGAAAAGAGTTTGCACATGCTCGGTATGCACGGTTCCGCGTACGCGAACGTAGCTATGCAGGAGGCGGACGTCATCATTGCTCTTGGTGCACGTTTCGACGATCGTGTAACGGGCAAGCTCGACCTGTTCGCCCCCACCGCCCGTGCCGCCGCTCTCCAGGGTCGCGGTGGCATCATCCACTTTGAGATTCAGCCGAAGAACATCAACAAGGTCGTCGAAGCGTCCATCCCCGTGCTCGGCGACGTCGTCGCGAACATGGCGGCCCTCGCGCCGCTGATCCGCCCCTCCCCCCGCAAGGAGTGGTTCGACGACATCAAACGATGGAAGGCGAAGTTCCCGTTCACGTACGAGAAGAGCAAGCCTGGTTCGCTCATGAAGCCGCAGGAGGTCATCGAGGAACTGGACAGACAGACGGCACACAGGAAGGAGGACGTCATCATCACCACGGGTGTTGGTCAGCACCAGATGTGGGCGGCGCAGTTCTACCGCTGGAGGCACCCGCGCTCCATGGTCACGTCGGGTGGTCTTGGCGTAAGTAGGATATCCGTCCAGCTCATTGGATGATGCGCTGACCATACGTTTTAGACCATGGGCTTCGGTCTGCCTTCCGCTGTTGGCGCAAAGGTCGGCGCGCCTAACAAGACTGTCATTGACATCGACGGCGATGCGTCGTTCAGCATGACCGCGATGGAGCTGCAGACCGCGTCGCAGTACGGCATCGGCGTCAAGGTCATGGTGCTCAACAACGAGTTCCAGGGTATGGTCCTCCAGTGGC